GCCCGATTTTGGGAGGGGAGGTGGGAAGGCCACTTCCTTCTGCTGGGACCGTTATCTCTCCACCTCGCATTTTTTTTAATGCTTTTCCTTTTCAGGAATGGAGCGGAACAGAAGAACGCTGGAAGGGAAAGGAAATAAATATGATGCCCCAGGACTGTGGGGGTTCCCCGAGGAGCCCTGCCTGGGGTTTCCTTCCCCATCACCTCCCAATCTCACTGCAGAACAAGCCACCCACCGCAGGAGGTGAATTCCCCCCAACTCCAGCACCCACCTGCCAGACCCCACTTGCTGCCATCCTCACCCCTCAGTTGGGAGGATTCCAAACCTCCAAACCACTAATTTTCCTCCCCAAAGACAGGGACCAGGTGGGATTTTAGGTACCAGTTTGTTCAGGGAAAGGCTGGGAGGAGAAGTCACTGTCACCGGGCTGTGAGTCCCCTGAGCACTGTCCCCAGCCTGGCTGTACAGATCCCAGCACTGGTGACAGGTCTGGCCTACCCAGGAGGAGCTGGAGGAGCTCCTGCATGAATTATTGATGATTCTTCAGGAATAAACCCCTACAGACCAGGCCTGTGACCCCCAGCCATCAGAACATTCTCAGCTGGCAGAAGGATGCTGCAAAAGCATGGCTGAGCTGCAAATCAGTGCTGTGGAGGGAGATGGACAGAGTAAAGCTGCAAGAAAATGGGAAAGAAAAACAGGGTCGAGCTGAGACTTGCCAGAAGCACAGGCGGGGAAATGAGATCTGGTGCTAAAAACAAAACATGTCTCCTCCTGTTTCCTGTTCACACCCCAGCAGGCTCCTGACGTGCTTCAGGACCACCATGGACACTGTGGTGGCTACAAACACAAAATACCCCCTCTAAGGTTTAGACTGCACCTGAACCCTTTCATTTAAATCTCAGGAAGAGCCTCAGCTACGTTCGTGGAATTCTTACAGCACTTCATGCATTCACTGTGTGCAATGCTTCCTTCAGCTCCTGCCCGATGCTGTCAGTGCCCAGAGCAGCTGGAAATGCCATTTCAGGAGTGCCAACCTGGCTCTCTGCAGCTCAGCTGCTCTCCAGGCTCCGGAGCAGGGCACAGGCACACCCTGAGCTCCCAGGGGTGCAGAGCTGTGCTGGAGGCACCACTCTCCCTGTCCATCACCTGGCAGAGAGCAGCACCACCAGGTTATTTCGAGCTCCACTGCACAGCTGGAGGTCTTCAAACTTTGTCATTTTGGGCTGACACGGTGCTAGCCTGGGACCAGGAGCTGTGCCACAACACAGCAGGGAGCAGAGGGCAGCTCGAAATGAGAGCGAAGAGGCTTTTTCACATCTAATAATTTTCTCTGATGAAGATAGGGCGAGAGCTGGGCATGTTTGCCTGGACAAGAGGAAGCTCCAGGCAGAACCTGAAGCCCCTTCCAGTGCCCAAGGCCTCCAGAGCTCCAGGAGGGTTTGGGCACCGCTCCCAGGCATGCCCCAGGTGGGATTGTTGGGGTGTCTGTGCAGTGCCAGGAGCTGGACAGGATGATCCTTGTGGGTGGGATCCCTTCTAACTGTGGATATTCCACGATTCCATGAGTTTTCAGCCCTTCAAAGACAGCTTTTGCTCCTTTAGGAGTGTCCCTCCCTTTTCAGTGGGTAAACAATCCCTCTCTGAGCATGAGATGTGTGAGGTGCAGCTGCACAAGGCAGCCCAGAACCTTCCCCATCCCCAGCTGCCTGCAGGGACCTGCGAGGCTCCTGGGGGCCCTTTCTGCGGAGGAAGGGCGTGATTCCCCCTCTCCCACCAGGTACGGAGCTCTGCAAGAGGTGGGGGGACCTTCCCTTGGGGTGGCCCGGCTCTCCCTGAGCTCGTCTCCGTACAACCAGCAGGTGACGGCGGCTGAAGGTGACCTCGCCGTGCCACCCGCTCCATCCTCCACCACCGTCACCAACCATCCCGGAGTGCCCGCGGGCTCCTCCAGCGCTGCCTGCCCGCAGCTCCCGGCGCCTGCCGGGCCGGGGAAGGCGCAGCCCCGGCGGTGCCTGCGCTGTGCAGTTGGATGCCTCCACCACGAGAGCCCACTGCTGCTCCGCGCTGGGCTCCGCCGCTGTCCCGCCTGTCCCCGGCGCCGCCCGAGGGGCTGGGGGTGCTGAGCCCCCCCAGACTCTCCCCGCAGCGGGGCTGCGACCACCCTTGCCCCGGCGGACGGTGCGGGGGGCTCCGCCGCCCCCAGCCCTGCAGGGAGGCTTGGGCAATGCTGCAGCTGCCTCCCCTCCATCCTCAGCGGGTGCCTCCCTGTTTGGCACGGTTTTAAGGTGCTTCCCTCGGTTTCACACGATTTTAGGGTGTTTCCCCCGGTTTTGCAGAGTTTCAGGGTGTTTCCCTCTCTTTCACACGATTTTAGGGCGTTTCCTTGAGTGTTGCACGATTTTAGGCAACACTGCAGCATCACAGCAGTGTCCCCCAAACTCCGCTGTACCCCCCCAAACCCTCCTCTGGGGGGTTATAGAGGTGCCTCCCCTCCTGCAGGGCAACACTTTAATTAGGGGGGAAATAAAAGGGGGTGCGGGCGATCCCTGATGAGGACAAAGTTAATTATCGATGTAGCAGCTCCTGAAAGCTTCCCCAGGCAAAAACCTGGTTTTGAGCAAAGCAGCTCCTGCCTGCCGGGCTCCAGGAGCTGCCCTGCACTGAGGGGACGATAAGGAGAGTTATTGTTGCTCCGTGCTCATAAAAGAATTATTATTAAGGAGGGGAAGAAAGTTGTAAGTGAAGTAAATTGGGCCAGGCTGGGTGTTTGAATAGACAGGAATAATGTTATGGTAATGTCATGCACGGCTCTGCTGCTCCAGGACCCTGACGTGTTTTATAAAGCTGGTGCTACAAAAAGCAATTCTGTGAGCAGAGAGAGGGAGAGCTGGCCAAAGAGAAATGAGGAGAAGCTGTAAAAATTATGTTTTATTGTGTGGGAGAAAGCAATGAGTTGAGATCTAACCCTTGATGTCCTTCTGGAGGAGAAAGCTGGCAGCATATTGTCGCTCGCTTGTATGATTTAATTTGCTATTCTCAGTCTTACAGTAATTTCTTTCCTGTGCTCCAAAAGCTTGTATCTACATTTCTGTTTGCAAATGAAACACATGGAAGAACTCCCCAAGGCTGGGGCTTCAGAGCTGGATTTTCCCAGAGTGCAGGGGGCTGCTGACAGGATGGGGCAGGGGGCACCCAGCAGCACCACCTTCCACTGCCACTTTGATTTGATTTTAGTTTGACAGCCCAAAACACCTGAACAACAGCCCGGGGTGGGCTCCCTGTGCTGCACAGGGTAAGTGATGGATCCGGGCCCCGGCACGCTGTGACATCAATCAGACCTTTACGAGTCCCCAGCGGCTGCAAATCAATAAGTGCCAGCAATAATTACCCATTTTGTCTTTCTCTTTATTAATATTTAGACGTTTTTAATCTTTTCTCTCTAAACATGACGTTTCCCTGCTGTGGGTGTCCTTCAGAGGGAGCTGTCAGAAAAGTTCCTGTTCCTCTAATTACAGGCTTTGTGTTGGATGGAGCTGCTCCCTGAGCAGGAATGACACAGCCACCAAAGCTGGGGACAGCCCAGCTGCCTCAGCCAGGGCAGATGACACTGGCTGATGTCCCCAGGAGGAGGGTGCAGCCTCTCTGGGTGTCACAGTGCAGATCTTGTGATGGTCACAAGGGGCTTTCTGCAGCTCTTGGTGGGGGTGACCACAGCCCACAGATGTCATTTAAAGAGATCATGGAATGGTTTTGGTTGGAAAGGACCTTTAATCCCATCCAGTGCCAGCCCCTGCCATGGCAGGGACACCTTCCACTGTCCCAGACTGTTCCAAGCCTGCCCTTGAGCACTGCCAGGGATCCAGAGGCAGCCACAGCTGCTCTGGGCACCCTGTGCCAGGGCCTGCCCACCTCACGGAAAGGATTTCTTAATTAGGAGAAGTCCTTAGAGGTGATTATCTTTTCAGGGGTGCCGTTAGGGATACACATTGCAAACAAAGCCCTCTTTTGACATGGAAAGGGGAGCAAGACTCCAAGATTTTCAATGGAAATGACAGCCCTTATCTCCTCTAACACGGTGTGAGAGAGCTGATAATGCCCTATCAGCCCTGGAAAACAAATGGGAACAAATTAAAAAAAAAAAACAACCCTCCCAAAAAGTAATATAAATTATGTTTGTTGTGGAGACAAAAGGTTTCCAGCAAGTCCAGGTTTAAAGCAAGAAAAGAGATGTAAATAAGTGAGAGGAGGGATCCTGAAGCATCTGGCATGTTGGGAACACCTCCAGCACCTGGAGGAGCAGGTAAAGCCATCTCTTGTCCATCTGTGCCCGCAGGGATCTGTGCCAGGGATCTGAGGGCAGACACAGACCTGGCTTTTCCAGCATGGGAGAGGTGGAATCTGTATCCTGACTTCTGGGGCTGTCCAGCAGAATGAATCCTCAAGGGAATGTCAGAGGCTGCTCCCTCCCCAGGCACTGCAGACACTGAGGTCCTGCTCCCACCACGGGAGGAAAAGCTGGGACTGCAGAGATCCCTGTGCCTGCAGCAGCAGAGACCCCAGGGCTGAACAGGGACCGTGCTCCGACAGCCCCAGGAGCCTGCAGGGCTCCGGTTTCACCTCTCCTCATCCCTCTGTGCCACCTCTACAAGGTTCTCCCCAGGGTGACAGAGCCACCTCAACACCACCCCACTGAGGGTGACAGTGCCAACCCCAGCATTGCTCCCTCCCTGGGACAGCACTCAGGGATGGGCACAGAGAGGTGACCACAGGGAGGGTGGCCTCAGGTCTCCCCATCCCTTTGCACAGAGATGCTGCAGGCTCTGCCCAGAGTCACAAGAGCTTCCTCTCTGGTGCCAGCACCTCCAGATGTTCAGCCAGCTGTGATGTGCCATTATCACCTCTTGCCTCTGCTGTGTCACCGCTCTTCTCTCACCCACCTCCACTGGGGACAGGACACGTGTCACTGGCTCCACCCAACACGGAATCAGGAGCTGCATCCTCTGCCCTCCTCTCCTCTGGCTGTTTGCCCGAGGGGCTGGGGGGGCTGGCAGGGGCAGGATCATGTTCCAACCCCCCAGTGTGGGAAAAGGGGCTGTGGCATGAGGCAAAGAGGGGCTGGAAGCTCCTCTGTGCCATATAAACATGTAACGAGGACACCGTGAGTGTGGAAACATCTTTCACTGGAAAACAATTCCAGATGATGCAACTTCCAGCTACTGCCAGGGGAACGAGCACAGCCCCAGAGCTCCCCAGCTGGGGCAAGGACCAAGGCAGCTCTGCTGGCCACTCCCAGGCAGTGTGGGACAGGTAAAACCAGGACAGGTAAAACCAGAGGAGATGCTAAAGCTGTCCCACATAGGCTGAGCCAGCCCCAGAGGCCAGGCTGGGACCCAGCTCCTGCCTGGGGACAGTGACACCCCAAGCTGTACTTTTGGGGGCTGGAGATGGGTCTTGAACCTCCTGAATGAGCATTCCTGGGGCCAGACACGGGTCTGGGGAGGCGCAGCCTCTGTGTGTGGGCAGCAGCGAGTCCCGGGATACCCGAACACCCCATCCCAGCTTTTCCGGTGGGACGCGTCCCTCGAGCCCTGCCCAGGTGGCCCCAGGCCGTGTCACAGGTAGGTGATCTCGATGACATTGGGCTCAGCACTCCCGTGGGGAAGGTGGTGGCTGCAGGAGCAGTGGCAGGTCACTCCAGCCGAGCCCATCTTCCCGTGGGCCTCCAGGCGCCTCCAGTCCGTGAGGAGCACGCTGTCCATGTGCTGGGCCATGGGCTCGTGGTGCAGCGTGACCTGCACCGTGCGCAGCTGGGGCCCGTAGTGCACCACCAGCACGATGAACACGGCCAGCAGCACGAAGAGCACCACGATCACCGAGATCACCGGCAGCGCGTCCGACTTCTTGGTCACGCTCTTGACGATGGAGACGGGAGTGAAGGCGGCCACGTCCTGGGGCTCGGGCTGTCTCAGCTGGCTGCCGGGCACCGAGGCGTTCATGGCTCAGCGGGGTGACCTGGCACGGGGACACGGGCGGTGACCACCGAGCTGAGCCCGTCCCTGTCCTCATCTCATGCCCTCGAGCCCGCAGCTCCTGCCTGCACGTGCAGCTGCCAGGGAATGGGACGACCCCGTGAGCGTCCCCTCCCTCGGGCTCGCAGCACCGGGGAAGTTTTGGTGGTGAAGTCTGGGGCTTGCAGGATGAGGCAATCCCCGCATCCTCCCGTCCTGGGCGCCTTTGGGCACTACACCTGGCTCTTGTGGGGAGCCCTCTGCCCGTCCCCCTCCGCCCCCAGCCTCACGGAGCTGATCCAGGAACAAACCCCACGGGAACCTCCCAGGGGGACCCAACCCCATCAGACGTCTCTCGCAAGATCCCGTGGAGCCAGCACGGGTGGGAGCAGAGGACAATGGGAGAGGAAGGAAGGAAGGAGAGCCCTGCCAGCCCCACGGGGTACCTGGGCGTCCCTGCTGCCTGGCAATCATCATCTCCGGCGGCGGGGCTGGGAAGCAGCCGGCGGGGCGAGCAGCACGAGCCGCGGGCTGGCTCTCCGGGGAAGGTGCAGCCGCCTCACCTCGGAAGTTGCCACGTCACGGCCCGGCCCCGCCGGGCTCCCGGGGCACCGCGGAGCGCCCGCTCATCCCGTCCGTGCCGCTGCCACATCAGCGCCGCGACCCTCCTGTCCCCGCGGCGCGACAAGGGCCCCTTTGTCTGGGGAGAGGCACCCTCCTCCCCCTGCGGCTGCAGGAAACCTCCCGGCTAACACCGGCGGGGCGTGAAAATTGAATGAGGTGAAGGAATGGGTGTAAAAAATCCCCTTGGGCCTGTGAGCTGTTTGCACAGCCCGGCACACGCACTGCACGCTGTGTGTCCTGTCCCCAGGGATGGCACAGCCCCGGCGATGATGGTTCCTGCCGGGGGTCTGTGAGCTGTTTGTCCTGTCCCCAGGGATGGCACAGCCCCGGGGACGATGGTTCCTGCCGGGGGTCTGTGAGCTGTTTGTCCTGTCCCCAGGGATGGCACAGCCCCGGGGACGATGGTTCCTGCCGGGGGTCCCGCTGCTGCAGAATTTGCCCATTTGCCCGCACGGCTGTGGGGTGAGTCCATCGGGAGCTCTGGGTGCTTTGGGCCTCCAGTGCAATGGTTGGACTCAATGATTTTGGAGGCTTTTCCAACCTAAAGGGTTGTGTGAGCTGCTGGGGGTCACAGGCAGGAGCCAGAGCCAGGTCAGGGCTGGCACATCCCTCCCCTCACATTGTCCCCACCCTGCACACAGGTACATCCCCCTGGCCCAGGGGTGCCGTGTGTCACACCCTCTGCCCAGCAGTGACATTGAGCGCATCGCAGAGCAGAAAATATGGACCTCTCAGAGCTTCAGCCATTACAAAACGCATCTTCCCATCCTTCCACCCCAAACCACCACTGCTCTTACCTGCAGGCTCTCAGCAGACAGGCTGAGGTGAATATTTGGGCTCTGTCCTTCCTGCACGTGGGAAGGACACGGTGGGAAATGCCTTTTCCCATCCAGCCGAGCATCCAGAAGAGATTCAACTGCGTGTGAGCTTCTGGGTATTTGCACTCATTTCAGGATCCAGTAAAACCTTAATCTACAGCATAATCTCTGAGCGTCACATCTGTGCAAGGGACAAAAGGATGAGGGGGCTGCTGGGGGGGGTGTGTGCCAGCAAGGCTGCTGTGGAGGCCAGCACCCTTGGGCCTGGTGGTTTTCCTGGGGGGTTGGAGGGGTTGGAAGAGACCCTTGGAATATGGGGAGCTGTGCCATGCATGGGGGATGATTCCCACCAGTGCTGCTGCTGTCTGCCAGCTGTGGGAGCAAGGCTCCTGCTGGCATCATAGGACACTCTTGATGCTCTCCATGCAGTGAAGGAGAATCTCCTTGGCCTTTGGCTGAGGCTCTGTGGCTTTGGGGGGCTGTGGGAGGTGGCTGGACAAGCCCCTCAGACCAGCAGACAGAATCCTCTGGCTGTGCATCCTGAACACCCACACAGACCCCCCAAGAAGGACACAGGGGCCTTTCCTAGGTGAGGACACTGAAATGCTTCTCCCCCTGCAAACACCACTGACACCCAGCACAGGATAACCCAGAACCTCTGGGATTCACACTGTGACAGGCAGGACCTGCACAGAGCAGCACAACACAAGGTCAGGGCCAGGAAACCGAATACCTGAGCCCCTGGGGCTGGATGGGGGCAGAACCAGAACCAGTTTCCCAGTTCCTGCCCTTCTCCAGGAACTGGGAATAGGGTAGGTCCAAGGCTAGTATGTGCTGTGTGTCCTGCAGGGAGGGAGGCTGTGCTGCCAGAAGAGGAGCATCCCAAAGCCACCATCCCAAAGCCACCATGCCAAGGCCACCATGCCAAGGCCACCATCCCAAGGCCACCATCCCAAAGCTGGCACGTCCCAGTGCCCAGACTTACTGGAGCTGCCCAGGGAGGCACAGGGTACAGGCAGGCCCAGCTGCTGAGCCACCCTGGCCCCACAAGGAGCAGTTATCCCTAAATTCCTCACGGATGTGTAAGAAACCTCCACTCAGGTGCTGGGGAGGCTCCTCCAGCAGCTCTTACCCCAGGGAGGCTGATGTGGGGGGGATGGCACCTGGGGCACATGGCGCCACACACAAAACACCTCCCAAAACACCCCGGCACCGTAGGGAAGGCGCTGAGGCCGAGCAGGGCATCGCTCCGAGCGGGACCGAGCCCCGGCAAAGCCCGGCGAGGTTTCCTCTGCCGCCGGTGAGCGATGTCTCACATCCTCCCCGGCCATAATGGGCTGAAAAACACAGTTCCCCTGTGGATTGAGCCCGTTTCCTCCTATTCTTTAACAGGAAGCTGTGTGAGAGTCAGCCCAGGCGGGCGAATCGCTGCTCGCGGTCCCTCCCGGGATGGCCAGAGGCTCCGCGAGCCGCAGAGCAGCGCGGAGATGCCGCTCGCGTCCCTCCATCCTCTGCTCTGCCTCCTCCTGCTGCTCCCAGGTGAGCTGCTCCGCACCCGGCGAGCACAGGCGCTGCCGGACGGGGGGATTTGGGGGGCCCGGGTCCGGGGGGGCTCCAAAGGCAACCGGGCAGAGGCCGGGAGCTGCCACGGGAAAGCTCAGCCTTGCAGCTCAGCGGGGGCAGCAGTCGGGCTGCCGGGGAAAACGTGGCTTTGTCAGGTTTGCAGGGTTTATTTGGCACTGCTGGAATACAAGGATTTGTTTGCTGGTTAATGAAAGGAGTGCTTCTGCCGAGGTGTTTGGAGTAAGTGACTTTTGTCAAGAAATAGTCAAGGAGGAATGTTTCAATGTACAGGGCATTGTTTTCCTCAAAAATACTTTTTATTTGCACTTTTTGCTCTCATTAGTATCAATACAAAGCCCACGTGCAAGGCTCGTGCAGAGCACATCTTGTCCTTGCTGTAATAATTCTGCTGCTTTGGGGTAATTATTCTTTAACTTCTCTTTCCCATCTGAGTCGAGGTGTGGGATGAAGGAGCTGGTTTCCTGCTCCAAAGGATGACAGGTTGCTTTTCCCTGCATTGTCAGGCCCTTCTTCCCTTGCTGACACCTGTAGTAGCTGGGAGCTGGAATAGATTCAAAGGAATATAAAATAATGTGTCTCCAACTCTGAGGTTTTATCATTAAACCATAGAAGCTGCCTCGGGTTACAGCCACTGTGCTGGTAATAATGGGATTTTTAAAAGGCAGAGAATCATAGAATGGTTTGTGTTGGAAAGGAAAGATCATCTCATTCTGCAGAATATAGAAAGCAATTCAGTTTGTAGCTGTATAATTCCAAGAAATAAGAGCACATGGACTGGAAATTTTCTCTCTTTATTAGAGGCCAACACTGCTGAGGGGGGATTTGTGCCTGGGATCAGAGCAAGGATCACACCAAGGGGCTTTGAGCACCTTGGCCACCATGTGGCACTCCTTAATGCCCACCCAGAGCACTGCTTTTCCTTTTAAAACTGCTCAGAAGGGCTTTTATGGGGCAGCAATGGCACAGAGGGGGTCAGGCCCCTTCCCTGGCTGGGCTGCACCATGCCAAGGTCCATGGAGTGGGAATTCCAGAAGCACTGCCCAGAATCCCAGGATTCCAGCTTCTGGGAGCACCTAGTGCTGCAGCACAGGTGGAAGGGATGCCACCCTCCATCCTTCAGTCTCGACAGCATCACTCTGTCCCCTCAAAGGCACCTGTCGAAAATCAGGGGCAGCGACCGTCCCCCTCCATGGTCACAGCACTGTCACACCCCTCCCACCAAACCAGCCTTCCCTGGAATGTCCTGCCTCCCTCTTCTGCACTGATCCAACAGCCCCAACATGGCTTTTTAATTTCATTTTCAATTTTACAGCAAGTCCCAAAGGTGGTGCAGCCCCTGGGGGAAGCTTCTGCACAAGGCAAAGCAGCAGCTTAGGAGAGAAGCTCCATGGTGCCACTGGTTCCCTGGCACACCAGCAGCTGGAAAAGGGAATTAGGGGCTCTGGAACAAGGCTCCCTGCCCTGGGGGAGATGGATGTAACCTTGAGGAGACACAGAATCAGTTTAGGCTGGACACTAACACCTGCCTGCTCCCACACAAGCCTTTCTTGCTTTTGCTTGGTGCAAATGCAGTATTTTATTATTTTATCATTTCCCGAATTAAATTTCTCCATTCTCATGGTTATTTCTGAAGAGAGGTTCAGATAAGGGAAGTTCAAACTGTTATTTTGAAATTGCTGAATTGGGAAGGTGTGGCACATTTCCAATTCTGTTTTCCTTGTCCTAGAAACACTTAGCAGAAAATTTGTCCAAACAAACCTCTTCCTATAGACCCTTTCCATTACAATGGGCAGGCGTTTTCCAGACAAAAGATTTCCACTGAAAAAATGCCTCCTCAAAGCTGATGAAAACCCAGCAGGATTTCCCACTGTTGTTGTTCCATCCACCTCTCTCCTTATCTGTGCCACAGCCTGTGGATGGATAATGCCACGAGAAATGTGGTATTTCAAAAGCGGATGTGTTTTGAGATATATTTTTGATATAATCAAAAAGATGGGGTGCAGCTAAAGGACCGGCACCCAGATTCCAGACTTGCATCCTCAAACCAGGGCATCCTACAGCAGATTTCTCAGCCAAGGGCGAGGCCAGCCCAGCCCTGAGGCGGTGAACAAGGAAGAGAAAGCAGGAGGTGGTTTGGAGAAATGTTTGCTCACACAACAAACTGCTCCCTTCGGTAACATGAAACCCCTCGGTGACTCTGCAGATCTGAAGCAGCAGTTTCCAGGAATTCTGTCCCATTTACAATAGGTGAGTCAACAACAGGTGTCCTTGCAAGAGGTGGTGTCCCAAAGCCAGGAACGTTCCTGCTGGGAAGCCAGGCTGGAGAAGGGAGCTGGGGCTTCTGCAGCACCACCAAAGTCCCTGCTGGGAGCTCTCCTGGCCCCAGTTCCCAGAGGAGCCCACCCAGCACAACCCAGCCACCTCAAAGGGGAGCAGCTCCCATGTGAGTCCAGAGCAGGCACCAGGATGGTCAGAGGAATGGAGCAGCTCTGCCCTGGAGTCAGGCTGGGAGAGCAGAAAAGGCTCCAGGGAGAGCTCAGAGCCCCTGCCAGGGCCTAAAGGGGCTCCAGGGGAGCTGGAGAGGGACTGAGGACAATGGATGGAGGGGCAGGACAAGGGGGAATGTCC